CAGGGTGATGTTGTTTTGGTTGTAAAGAAATATAAAGATGGCTGGTTCCGTGGAGTAAGATGCAGAGGATATCAGGTGTGGARGACTAGATTCTCCTTTTAATACAGCATAACTAGGTTACAGAAATTGAAAATTAGACAATTAGACATTGAATTMATTATTTTCTGAATCTATAAATTGTAGCTTAATTAAAGTAATACCTTCATATTATATAGAAGATATAACCCAATTTATTGTGATTTCATGYCAGGTTGGGTGTTTTCCAGGCAATTTTGTTGCCATAGAAGCCTCACCTTTGATCCCTGAAAGGTAGGGATCCATACATTATATCTTATACAATTACTTATGTACAATTACTTGCTTATTGAATAGTTCTTGACTAAATTTCATAAAATCTGATTGAAAAGAGGGGATTCCTAGGCTTGGATCTTGTCAATTTGAACAATGTTTGTCTCTATTCAGACAGCCTGGGAATATAATTCTTTGTTTATAATTAACACTTGAGATTAAGATTACTGTAAACAAGGAATTGTATTCACAAAGAGCCANGGTTCGCGGGGGGTAAATCGTTAATTTATGGAGACACATTTAGATCGGTGTGAAGTCGTCATGACATTTAATGAGAGTAATTTGCTGTTTTGTGATAATCCTAAGGGTCTCAAGTAGTAAAGGTTTTAATTTGGTTGCTTGTCATCGTGAGTAATTGTACAAGAATGAAACAGTTAACATGATTTGTACTTCCTGTGCATGCTAAGTTCTAAYATACGGGCCACTTCTCAAAACCCCAATTTTTGACGTCTTTCATTACACTCACTGTGACTCATGTACCTTTAGTAYATAAAGCTGATCATACATGTACATTGTAATGTAGTTTATCAGTATTTCATCTGAGTAATATAATTATAGTAGAACGATTTCGCGTAAGCGGCTTGTTCAATGCAAATGAGTATGTGGGCTAAAATAGCATGCAAATGAGAAGCAAACTCGTGGATTCATCATAGAAAACGGCTTTTATTAAATAACTTGTGTTGTTCAACTCTATTCTAATAACAAAACAAAATTAGATGTATACTGTTGTTATTGTTGTCAACATATCAATCAAAAAAAGTGTAAAAATATCAATCAAGAAAACAGTCAGAAATGACACTGATCAGCTGGTTACATTCTTATTTCCCCTGGTTAATTTGTGTCTGTACGCTTGCGAGTAAAAGATTAACTCTTTCCATCGTCTCCATYGCCTTGGTGCACATTTCTGTATGTTTTTCTTGTGCTTCTCTAGCTACATCTMGGTCACTTTTTCTCTTCTTGCTCTTTGGCTCTTGTACTAACGCATCCAAGTCGTCTGAATCGCTGGTGTCTGAACTAGACCAAACAAATTCGTTTGCAAGCTTACTTCTAGTCTGCCTTTCAGCTGGAGTTCCTTTAGTTGCATATTGCATTTGGTTGGCCTGTTGTATGGGCTTAGAGGTGGAGGTAGACGGCCCGGAAGAGTCAGCCAGTTTTTTCTTTAAAACGCTCTTGATTCTGTTCGTCACGCGTTGTTCAGGCGCGTCCAGGTATATGTTAACCACTCTTTGAGGTAATCCTTTGTCGATAACGTTCTGTTTAGCAATCGYTACGACCTCCTTCCATCCCTTTCCCATTGCAAGATTTTGGCACTCGAGCACAAACTCTCTTTCTTTTTCTCCGATGTTCACTCTTCGCCCGCTTCCTGTTGAGAACACGTGTGATGATGAATTAGCTGATGTTGAAGCATTTATCGTACTTAATTAAATAGGAAACTGCTCAAAAGACTGAACTATCTTATAGTTTAAATAATTTTCTTACCTTCAGTACTAATAGTTTGTGTACTGGCCATGTCAGTCCTCTGTTTAAACGAAATACAGAAAGCTTACCAAGAGACTGCAGGGATTGCTGTTTCTTATGTGATGAGAAATGCACGCAAAAATGTGAAAGCCCTTGCCGATTTCTTCTGACTTCGGTCGAGGTTTTTGCATAATTATCCAACTAGTGTCAACTGGTGTCATGGATCTATTACAACTTCGTGCCTTTTTGATTAATGTACTTTCTTTAATGCTTCTTTTAGTGGCCATGCAACCGCCACCTCAAGCTGTACACATTGCTTTACAGCAGCRTTTACTGCCAGGTTTTCATGGCCATCAGTTTCAAGGAAGAGACGTGTTTTCCCAAGTGTCTGTCCAACCGTGGCTATTTTGGAGAAATACCGGCGAAACTATAGGGTCATTTCTGCAACTTGTAGCAGATCTATCTCAAACACTTTTCGCTCTTAACATTTATGGACAACAACGGCGACGAATTCGACGACAACAGTTAAACTTCAACAATCAGGTTTTGCTTACTCTCATGTGGCTGAGGAAATATCCACACCTTGATACACTTGCATT